TTAAATATTAAGTTTTTTAAAAAATTAAAATACAAAAGAATTAATTTTAACCTGTATACTAGTAGCATAACCAAGTCTTTAATTGTATTTATGTAAGTACCAAAGTACCACCAACAAACTCAGAAATCCCATAATATATGGATGAAGTGTTTATACAAGACACTGTATAAATAGAAAAACAAACAGTGAGGATGAAACTTGATTACTAAACACAGGATTAATACTTGGTGTTTGGGAGTGTCCAGGATTGAAAGTTGAGTGGCTTTGGGTATTCTGGAAGGTGGCAGGACTGAAGACAACTCTGAAGAAGAACACTCAATATTATAACTTTGTCCTGCAGTTGTCATATGTTTATATATGTATGGATACCCCTTGTTTGACTTTCTTGACTCTTTTCAATTGAACAGAATACTTCATTATTATTTTCCCCCCCAATATTTACTAATCACATTTGTACAGCAACCCATTCTACCAAAAGAGATTCAGGACAGCACACAACAGATAAAGCCCACAATACAAAAATGACATAGATTTTAAAAAATGTAAAAAAAGATTTGCATTAAGCAAGAATAGATAAAAAGGCAAATACAATAAATGTCCTCTCATTCCTAAAAAGAAAAAAAAAATCAGACATTTTAATCACTTTCCATCTGAAGTGAAAGCAAGTTTGCTTCCTTATAAAAGGCCAGCACAGAACAAGCTAAGGCATGCATGAGAACATTGCAGTGGTTGAGCCTTGCTCCATGGAATGAGGTTTTAAAGTATGCCTATAACACAGAAAAAGCCATGTCTAAAGGTGGTTCATCAGGTGAAAGTTTTCATTTCTTTATATATCCAGAGAGAATTTTTCAATTTATATAAAATTATATAAAAATAGAAAAAAGTCAAATAGAAAAAAGAAATAAGTAAAAAAAGAAAACATACAACTATGCCTTCTGTTTTCTATCAAGTAATTGTCATCTTTAATTTTCCTCCATCCTCTTCCTCCTTTTTTAATCCCTGAGTTCTGAAATCATGAATTCAATCTTTTTTTACTTTCAGAAAAAAGTCCACATAAGATTTGTAATCTTCCATTACATTGCCATTTTTTTCTCTGACTGGTGAACATTTCCATTTCTGCTCTAGCTGTTGTCCATCATACTCCATATGCTATGAAATCATTTTCATACTGCATTGAACAGATGGAAGATGAAGAAATGTAATATGTAAAATGTATGTAAAATGTAAATCCTTTGGAAAGCGTACTAAAAATAACCTTTGAGCATTGTACTTTGCCCTGAGGGCAAGATGTATCACAGAAGTTTGTTGACGTAATATATAACTTCAGTGATCTGTGTTTCTAGTTTTGACACTTTTACAAATTTAGAAATTGTGATAAAAAATATTCTACCAGACAATCGGAATAACTGAACTGAATTCATGAATGAGGCAGCAAGGTCTCTGTCTCTGTAAATGTTCATATGGTTTCTTCTCTCTCTCTCTCTCTCTATTCCCTGACTGAATAGCTGTTCAGCAAATGATCTCCTTTAGAAATGAGATAACTGGGAAATTAGAACAATGATATGTGTAATAATTAACAGGCATTAAAAGGCATGTCAAACAAGCTATTAACATATTGGATTTCAGTCTCCGTTATCTGGCAAAAAAAGATTTGTTGCAAATATGAGTCTGGAAAATGTAAGGGATGAATAGACAAGTAATGGAGTAATGGGATAGGGTTTTGGAAAACAGACTTGAGGATGCACACATAAACATAAATATCCCTCTGTCTTGTGGGTTTTGTTGCCTGACTCAACAGATACTTCCCCTGCAGAGTATCAATCCATTTACTGTCCTGGGACAGGATTCTGCAAAAGTTTTTCATACCAAATGGCATTCTTGATCTTCGTGTGACATGCAAGGCCATAGTCAAAAAAATAGCGGGTTTGGATAGGCTGAAAAGTACACCTGTTTTTATTTCATTTACCTTATGATACATTAAAATAAAAAGTTGATAACAACTTTGGAAAATCCTCAAAGAGTTCACTGCGGGCTCCTGAGGAATGGGGGTTCAGGCTGTATACTCCTGTTATCAACTTGTATAATCTCTTCATAAAGGTGATAGCAAGAGTTGCTTAAAAGCAGGGGTCCCCAAACTTGGCAACATTAAGACTTGTGGACTTCAACTCCCAGAATTTTCCAGTCAGCATAGCTTAGCTGGCTGGAGAATTCTGGGAGTTGAAGTCCAAAAGTCTTAAAGTTGCCAAGTTTGGAGACCTCTGCTTAAAAGGAAAGAGAAACTGACAAAAAGTCAAGATTTGTTTATTCTCTTGTTAAGAATGAATCTGACTTTTTTCCCCTGGCTTCAGAAAAGATGATTCAGGATGCTATCTGAGCACAGTTCCTACAGTCATGTCAACACATAATCCAGAAAAGATGTAGAGTATTTGGAAGGTTATCAATAAAGTTGGTGCCTAACCAGTATCAATATGGTCTTAAAAAGAAAGAAAGTCCAGTTGCCTTTTGAAAAAGAACCTTGAGACAACCACGGCCTGGATGATTGAGAATCTACATATACACTAGGATCTTAGTTTGTTTCCTCCAGTTGGAAACTCTTTTACTTCGTAATATCCATTGTCATTTGATGGTAGTTCTGTGATGAGTAGAACTGTGTTCTGCTACTCCAAGCCAATAGTTCTGCACCCTGTGGTGAAAGAGAACAGATCTTTCTACCATTTGGTGCATGTAGTTTCCTGTACTAAGTTCCACTTAGTAAGCCTGAATAATACTAGGTGCTTTCTAATCTTTTGTTTTGCTAGCACAAACTACTCTTCTCTAAAAGGAAATACAACAACATTTTTAAAAGAAAAGAAAATTATTTACTTTTTTCTCTCCCCCTACCTTGTCCTCTTTTTTTCAGAAAGAGATTGCATGATGCAAAGGTACAAACTCAGCTTCAGCCTCCAAAATGTGGCTTACTAAACAGCACTATAAAATCATAGTAGCCAACATATTCCTGCATTTCCAATGTTGTCCTCACTCAAGCACACCTTGAATGTTTATGTTGGGCACAAATGCCATTATAAACTGTGAAGATATTATAAACAGAAATCTAAAAAGAGAAAGCAGTAATGTAGACAACAAGCCCTTAGAATTTTCCATTGAAGCTCATTCAGCCCACAACACTCATCACTCAATGTGGGCTTTGCAGAAGATTCAAGATGGAAAGTACCACCACATCTCTTCAAGTAAAGAGATATTTATATATTACATTTAGAGTACTAGACAGATGTGGAGCATATGATCTTGTTCTGTACTTAAGTAGATTTGCTAAGTTTATTCAATAAGGCTGTTACTATCTTAGCCATTCATCTGTTTGTGTACCTCTGTTTATCACAAAAAATGTCCTTTTTGTCAAATGGAAAAAAACTATTTTTGGATGATGTATGTAATCACTGACTGATTGTCCCTATGCCTTGGCAGATTACCTGGATACTGACCTGGGAAATGAGTCAATCTAGAGAAACTCAACCAGAACTTTATGCATTGCCCTCTCTTGCTCAGTACATTCCTCATTCCTACACATTTTGGTCAAATTAAGAAAGATAACCCTGGGTTCAGATGACCAAGGAAGCAGAACCAGATACCATTGTCTAAGATGGGTAATGGGGCCAATCCTGGTCAGGACTGTTTTCAAAAAACCTTTCAGAACTGGTGTTAAAACTTTATAGAGACTGCTGGGCTTTGCCTGGCTTAGTTGACCATATTCAAATCAGTAATGAGATCTAGTTCAGTTTTCCTCTAGTAGAGGGGTCTCCAAACTTGTCAATTTTAACACTTGAGGACTTAAGCTTCCAGAATTCACCAGCCAGCATGGGTGGCTAAAGAATTCTGGGAGTTGAAGTCCATAAGTCTTAAAAGTTGTCAGATTTGGAGAACCCTGCTCTAATATCTAGTATCCTGTATCAGTTTCTAGATAATCGAGACAGCAGCATTTTGAAAACACTGTCCTAAAAGGCTTCATTTGTCCAAATTGGTTAAGAATGAAATGCCAGATGCACAGGAGGTAAAGTATTAGAGACTTTCTGGTAGAGACTTGAGTTAGCTTAATTTAAACTACTTCAGTGTTTGTCACCCTTCAACTCAAGACAAGCTATCTTAGAGCAGTTTATAAAAAGAGAATTAGCTCTATATAACTTGAAGAGCTCTTCATTTTCAGTGTACAATACAATCTTTTTACAATATTTGGACACCAGATGATAATCATTTTGCCCATATATCTTTGATCCATCCTGCTTTGAGTTGTTAAGATACTTTGAGCCATTACATTACTACCTCTTGCTCCACCACTCCACTTCCTACTTTGGATGCAAAGGCTTTGAACAACATGCCCATTTATGAATGGTTTAGAATTGTTTAAACCAGACAGGCATCCAGTTTAATCTTGAGGTTTCACATATAATGCTTGCTGGTAAATGGGCTGCAAACATTTTTATGTATACAGGTATAAGTACATCTAAGTACACGTGCAGATTTGATTATATGCAGCTTTTAACTGCTTACGGTAATCTCAGCAACTTGGTCAGAAATTTAATGTAGAAATCAGTCTCATCCTCTAAGCTACCCAACTATGGTTTAGATTGTGTTCCACATGTGCAAAAATTGTAATTTATAATGTCATACCAATGGTTTTGACAAAAAAAGATGCATTTGCCTCTTTTCCCTGTAATCCTTCAACCATGGTAGTGCCTGAAAGATGGGTTTGAGATGAAGCTGCTTTCAGACTTACTAATACATAGAATATTTGATTTCTGCCTTGATCATTAATTAGATTAATTCCCATAACTGCATATATGTTTGACATTTCATGACACATTTTAATATGCTCTCATGTACCGATTACACCAGGGTTATTATTTGCTATGATAATCATAACTGAAAATTGTTCTTCCAGGTGTATTGAATAGCATTCATCCTTTTCTCACACAAGAGGTAATGTTCCTTTTGCTTATATATTACAGGCCATAAACAGAGAGACTGGAGCCTTAGCTGCTGCCAAAGTTATTGAGACAAAAAGTGAAGATGAGCTGGAAGACTATATGGTAGAAATAGAGATTCTTGCTACTTGTGATCACCCACACATTGTAAAACTTCTAGGAGCCTTTTATTATGACAGCAAATTATGGGTAAGGTATAACGCAGTGCTCTTCTTTTTCCAGGTCATTATATTTATTCAAGAATGTTAACATGTTGTGAGTGTACAAAATTGTGCACAAGCAACCATATGCCAATTATGTGTAGCTTTGTCTTCTTGAAACTATTTATTGAATGCCTTCATATAATATTTTGCTTATGACATTTCCCCCCATAAATATGGCTAACAGTTGTTATGTGGAGTTCATATTTGCTTGTGATCCTGCTCCATACCATTAATCTTAATTTGCACTGAGACAGACCTTCCTTTTGTACTACCAATGTTTCAGATCCTCCTTGTGCCTAGTCTTATGAATTTCTATGTCAGGGTTCCAAGTAATACACCCATAGCAAACAGAACTCCGAGGTAGATAGGTTCCTCAAAGAATGGCTCTATTGGACATATCATAGTGGCACAATCTGGTGAAAACCGACTCTGAATGTTCCCACAGTTTTCACCGAAATAAAAGTAAAAGTTTTTCCCCTTTTCCAAACAATCAGTCACAGGGTCCAATCAAGGTGCCATCCGGTTGCCTGGTAACTTCACTCCTCCTCCATCCAGCCACCTGTGGAAATGTCCTTGGTTCCCAGGAGAAAGTATTTTGTTTTGGCTACAAAATCCCAGCTATCTCACTTCCCCCCTCCCTATCCCTCAGCTCTAAAACCTCAAAATGGCTCCGGTCGGGTCAGCTTCACTCTATGGAACAACCAGAAATGCATCTTTTTTTTATAGTTGAACTTTGCTTTATTCAAACCGATGAAACTCTGCTGGGCTCAGACTTTGAACTGTTAACCAGATTATAAGTTCTGACTAAATGCTGTTTTGTTTCAACAAGCCATAAGCTGGTTCTCAAGATCTTTAGCTTACAATAAGGACCATCCTTCACGGCAAAGTAGGTGGGACTTTCTGATTGGATGATTGTTTAATCAACAGAAGTTTCTTCTTTTGAATTTTATTGCAGAAAAATGTTCAGTGAAATTTCTAGTACGCAGAAGAAAGCTTCTGCATTGCAACAGGAATCTTGGCAACTATGATCAGAACAAAATCAATCTTATGTGGCAGTTATTTATTTAAAACCACTAAATTGCACCCTTCTTAAGTAGAGAAAAGTTGTAAGATATGTTGAGTAAAGGAACCTCCCAAGTTCACATAACTGAAAATAAAATTTGGGGATTTGGGGCGGGAGTTAGTCGTATGGGGCTTTGGGGAGGAAGACATTTAACAACAGGAATGAAGTGAGCTCTTTGGAAAGACAGATGATTCACAAACCATCCACCTTCATCTGACCACCTTCCATTTCAATTCTGAAAACTTTTTCTTAGAAAGAACTTCAACATGTTTAAACAAATGCTCTTTTGGTTCAGGATTTTTTTTAAAGTGGTAAAAATTAGCATGTTTTTCTCCTTCTCTAAAATGACTGACATTCTGAGCTGGGGTGCAGTTGGGAGTTGTCTAAAAGCAACTTAAAAGATAACGGAGAAGAGGCAGGCAAATTCTTGTTCGCTCAATTTTTCATTAGTTGTGGTTTTTTCCCTTGCTCCTAACAGGGGAATACCTATGTCCAATGGTTTCCATATTTTAAGTCATATGCTATGTCTGTGAACTGCTTTTTGCTCAGTTTTGAACCAGATTTACATTTTTGAAGATTTTTCTGATGTATTTTTATTTTGTTGTATCTTATTAGATTTAATATAGCAATAGCACTTAGACTTATATACAGCTTCACAGTACATTACAGTCCTCTCTAAGTGGTTTACAGAGTCAGCATATTGGCCCCAACAATCTGGGTCTTCATTTTACCCACCTGGGAAGGATGGAAGGCTGAGTCAACCTTGAGCCTGGTGAGATTTGAACTGCCAAATTGCAGGCAGCCGGCAGGCAGCAGAAGTAGCCTGCAGTACTGCACTCGTTAACCACAGTGCCATGGTGGCTCGATACATATCTGCCCTAGCCCAAAACACTCTTTATTATAATGTCCATTATGTTTCTAATCAACCCAGTGATTGAAATTATTGGGCTCTATTTCTTTTTCAGTTATTTTAGCTGCCTTGCTTAAAATCACTTCACGCATAACCCAGTCTTGTGCTGTTTCTCTGTCTGTATGAATATTTTACCATAGTGTGGAAATCTTAACAGAGTGATTTTTAAAGTCAATGTGCATCCTAGTTGTTATGTTCCTATTGCAGCTTTCCCACTAAAAAGATTAGTCTTGTATATGAATACGAGTTCCAGCTGCCATCACTTACACAATTTAAATTGAATTAAATGCCTCAGTGGAAGTGGAATGTTTATATGTGATCATCGCTTATAGTTTCTCAACCTTGGCAACTTTAAGATGGGTGGACTTCAACAAGCACCAACTGGGGAATTCCAAGGGTTGAAATCCACCCCTTTTAAAGTTGCTGAGACTGAGAAATACTGAACTAGTTGGAGCTCCAATAAACAGACAAACGGACAACATCCCCTATTGGATTTTCTGCAACTGTTTCTCCTGTGTCAGGTTTAGTTTACAGAAGTGGAACTTCAGGAACTAGAAGGCTAAAGTGCAGAAGGAAGGAACTATACAGTTCTCTGGAATTTTCCCGATGTCTCTTGAATGATTTTTGAAAAGTTCAAGAGGCAACTCACAACCTCTACCATATGTCTCATGGGCACGAATCTTCAAGCCTCTATGAAATGTTTTATTAATACAAATTGTTTTAAAAGAAGCGGATTAAATTAGTGAATTGTTAAATTAAAATGTTCAGTTTGTTGATTAAAATATTTTTCTGGATTGAAGTAGTTATCCATTCTGAGTAGGAATCCCTCAGTTATCCATTCTGAGTAGGAATCCCTCATTTCCCTTTAGAAATGTATTTGCAATATAATAAAATAATGAACTCTCAGTTAAGATGTTGATTGCCAAATGAAGGGTCAAAGAAACACAGTTTATATGCAAATAATAATTAAATTGTTAAAGCAGCCTTCCCAAAGGTGACGTCATGTATGAATACTATAGAACAGAGGTGTCAAACTCACCCGTCGTCATTGTGGCACCACGTGACGTATTCAGGACTTTTTTCCCCTTTCTAAACCGGGCAGGGCGGGGCCAACGCGTGACACATCCGGCCCATAGGCTGCGAATTTGACAGCCCTGCTATAGAGATAGCCCTCATTTAGCAACCATAATTGGGACAAGCAACTTGGTCATTAAGTAAAGCAACTGCTTTAAAGTGAAACCATGACTGGCTTTGTGGTCTTACTTCAGCTTTGCTTTACAGATCTACATTGATCACAGTTACTTTTTCATCACTGTCATATCTGTGAACAGTCATTTTTCTGGCTTACTAAATAGAAACTACCTATACCATACTACATTAATATTATAAATAATAATTTCAACACGATACCCACCAATGCTACTATATTCCTGAATCTATTTATTGCAATAAAGGAAGAAAGTGACATTTGGAAGATGTTGTTTAAATTAGTCCTCAAGGCTGAGTAATTTTATGAGCTGAATTCACCCAAAGACATATGAGCTGGCCAGAATTAAAAGTTGGTCCTTCAAATCATAGTTCGGAATTACTGCAATGGCAAACATGATTTAGGACGAAGTATGTGTCATTAAATATTGAAGACGGTTTATATGAGTTTGGAAGTCCAAATGGGTGTAATCTAGATTTAGACTGCAATGCTAGATTTATTATTTTCTAATTTTCCCCCACCTGGGATTGTTTCCAACTTCTCTTCCACTTGTAACTTGCTACTTTGGCTCAAGGGTGACATTCCCAGTTTGTTGTTTTTCCTAGTTGGTTATTGTGCTTGTTTGTTCAGGAAAAATAAGGCATTATGCTTAACATGCTGGTGAATGGTACTCTTGTATTGCAGAAGAATGATAGTAAAATGGAAGCAATCTGTTTCCCCAGGGAGTTAGCTATTTAAATTCCACCTACTGAATACTTGCATGCCAGACAAGCTGTTGACATTTAACTTCCCCCACCCCCCAATTAGAATCTCTGAAGTTACCCAAAAGTGTGGTGGCTTTATGAGATCACACAGAGGCCTAGAAAGTGTGGGGAAGGCATTTGACATTTCTACCAGACTCAGTTCCTGTTCAGTGACAATGAGGCAGGGATTAGTGACCCAGAGAAGTGGAAAACAAATCTCCTAGCTGTTTATGCTATCAATTACATTAGACATGGGAACTTTTACAGTCAGATAGCCGGGCATTGCTAGGCATTTGAAAGATACAGGACAGAAGTCTACCAGCAAATTCTGAAAATAACAAAATGGGCTCAAAGTTGCTGCTGAGTTCATTTCCTTTCCCTATAAATAGACCTAGAGGTTCTCCAGGTTTTGGAAACTTGAAAAGTTAAGAATGCCCATCCCTCAAATAGCTATTGCATTTCATATATAAATGCAGAGACAGGGAAAGAAGAAAAACACAGTCTCCTGTAGACAATTTAGGACCCAGATATAGTGGGGGACAAAGATTCAGAGGAAGAAAACAAAATAGTAATCTTCTCTGAAGGTACTGTAGTTATCACTCTTTCCTCTTTCCATTTACTCATCCTCCCACCAGCATTCAAACTGCTTTCTAAATCCCTTTTGCAGATCATATTTCCTTTCACCCTCTTCTCAGATGCTCCATCACAAAATAGGAAAATAGAGTAGCTTTCACCTCTGTGGTGTGTAGCGAGAAGATCAAGTCTTTCCCATTTCTCTTATAGGACAGATCATCGCGGACAGATGGGGTTGCAGAGCTGTTACAGGATCAGTCCATTCAGACAGTGTAGTTCTGCATTCACTCTTTCAAATAAAAATCTTCCTGATCTTTTTACTTGATGCTTCTCCTGCTAAACTGCATTTCATCTTTTTAAATAAGCACTTGGTACCAGTAAAGCAGATTGTCCTTCTGTTGTACTGAAACCATTATTTTCCTTTCCTTTTTTTCTTTTTGGTCTCTCTCAGCTTGTGCAAGTGCCAGTGTTGTGGGAAAAGACCTCATAT